TGAACCTTTGTTGCATTTATGCACAAGCATGAATTTAAGACTTTAGAAAATGATATCATTAAGAAAGAAATAAATACAACGTAATAATCTCAAAAGGTAGTTACGAAATTTACATGTATGAAAGTCCAGAGCTCCATTTTAGTCTCTTCATTCACTGAAGTCCAATCCTTAATTACAACAAGCACATGTTCTCGTACCATGGCCCCAACTACGCTAGAAAATTTTTTCGAGTTCTGTCCAACAACTTGGCCATATTCATTGAATTCTATATTTATCTTCTGATAATTATGTTCAGGAATCATCTTCACTTGCAAAGCCACATACCAACTAGATGTTTCATTTTCCCTAGAATAAAATACTTGTTTCGCCTGTGTTGCCAAAATGAACGGACTCTGTGTCCTTCGTTAAGATTAACCAAAGTGAATCCATCTTCCTTTTTTATTCCGTTCACAATATTTACCCAATCACATTTGAATATTGAAACATGAGACGTATAATAGTCAAGCACTATAACGTCACGCAAAACTCCATAATAATGAACTTGCCCAACTATTTGTGCATTATCTTTTGCACTAGATCTACATATGGTCATTGTTTCAACTAAAACGCCACTATTTTGACGAGATTTGTCTGCATCTTTAGTGTGAAATCGAAGACCATTTATAACAAAACTAGAATATGACATTAATTGATATCTAGGACCACGTGCAAGCCACTTCAAATTGTTCGAAACTTTGTTCGTTAATAGCTGAATTTGAATATGTTATTATTTTAAAAATGTTAGAAATAAAAGAACAAATAGCACAACTTTGAGACATTTATTTGTTGATGTGTATTCCAACCTTATCATCCAACCAAGCAGCAAAAGCATCAATGTGCTTCTTGTTCAATAAAGTCTCATTTCTTTCCAGTCGTTTGTCAAAAACTCTTCAATTCATCCATATGCATCCTAAGGTAAATAAAATATATCAAAAAATATAGTTAACTACTTAAAATTATTGAACTCTATATTTAATAAACGTACGCTCTGTATGGTTGAACTTCTGTACTATTCAGTAACACGTAGCGATGAGCAACTTTTAATATCTCATTGGATAGTATAATTGCCTTCCCTTTAGAAATTGTACGCCCTGTAACTAGGAAATTAGTCTCGTATTCTTCATTGCGTACAGGCTTAGAACCTATTTTAGATGCTTGTGTTACATATTTGTTGCAAAACTTCGCATTTTCTTCAAGAATATATCGTTTAGCTATGCACACGATTCATAAAATATCCTTTCAACACTTTCATATATCTCTCAAATGGGTACATCAAACGATATTATATCGGTCCACATAGACGAACTTCTCTCCCAATATGGATTGTTAAATGAACCATTATATCAAAAAATGAAGGCGGGAAGTACCTTTCCAACATGCATAAAGTTTCAGAAATGTCATCCCTAATTGTTCAACCTTATTTCTATCTACAATTCCTTGACATATTTCCTTGAAAAATGAAGTCAATTTAAAAATGGAATTCCTTGGTCCTTTAGGTAGAAGCCCTCTCAACGCAATTGATAATAATTGTTGCATTAACATATGACAATCATGAGACTTCAACCCAGCTATCTTACATTCTTCCACCCATATGCAATTTCCAATATTAGATCCATAACCATCGGGTAATCTCAAGTTAGCAAGCCTTTTGCAAAATATTTGTTTTTCTACTTTTGATAAGGTATGAGGAGTAGCTGGTAGATAGAATTTATTTCCTCTACTTTGAGGATGTAAATCATGCCTAATATTCACTTCTTCCATGTCCTTACGAGAGTTAATGCCATCTTTAGATTTTCCTTTGACATCCAAAAGTGTACTGATGATGCTTTCACAAATATTCTTCTCCACATGCATCACATCCAAATTATGATGTACAAGTAAAGTCTGCAAATCAAATGCCAATGGAGTCATAAAAGCTACACACAACTATAAGTATTGAATAAAAATGAAGGAATTATCACAACAATTACCTTCTAATATGGTAGATTGAAAAATATTGACCTCTTCTTCCATGTTACATTAGATTGAGTTGTATTCTTCTTCCTCTTCCGTTTCTCACTTTTTCCCCAGTCGTTTGTAATTTTATCAACTTCAATAAAATCTTCTTCACCATTTTTTATCTGTGGCCTAATACCATGTTCAATATGTCCATTAAACCAGCTCTTTTTCATGCGAAATGGATGATCAAAAGTGAGAAATTTTCTATGTCCCATGTACGCAAACTTCCTACCATGCTTCAACCATAGTGAACATATACTCTCACGACAAATGGGGCATGCAAATTTTCCTTTGACGGGCCACCCAGATAAATTTCCAAATGCAGGAAAATCATGTATTGTCCACATCAAAAGAGCTTTTAAGTTAAATGTAGACTTTGTAACAACGTCATACATATCAACCCCATCATTCCATAACAACATTAAGTCGTCTATAAGTGGTGCCAAATAAACATCTATGTCATTACTTGGATGTTTTGGTCCCGAGATCAATAAACTCAACATCAAACTTTCCTTTGACATGCAAATTGAGGGAAGCAAGTTATATATAGTTAAGATTACTGGCCAACAACTGTATTTAGAGCTAAGATCTTTGAAAGGATTAAATCCATCAGTAGCAAGACCTAATCTAATATTTCGAGGATCAGAAGCAAAATCTGGCCACCTTCGATTAATCATTTCCCAACTCAATGAATCAACTGGATGCCTAATCTTACTGTCTGAACTTTTATTATTTGAGTTCCATCGAAGTTGTGTTGACATCTCATATATTCCAAACATCCTCTTCAGTCTTGGTATTATAGGAAAATAACGCAAGACCTTGGCTGGGATATTTTTCTGAATTTTTTTTTGTCCGTTTTTTAATTTTCCATCTCGAGCAACACATTTTGGACATAATTCAGCATGCTCAAACTCCTTTCTATATAGACAACAATCATTTAGGCAAGCATGTATCTTTTCATAGCCAAGATCAAATGTATTGACAAGTTTTTTCATCTTGTAAAATGAGTTTGGAAGAGTATTATTATCTGGCAACATGTCTCGAACAAGATTTATAAGTTCATCAAAACCATTATCTGATAACTCATGTGAAGCTTTATGCTTAAACATTGCAACCAAAGCTGACATCTTTGTAAATGCCCTACAATCAGGATATAAAGGAGTTTCAGCATCATTAACTAAACTTTCAATCTCTTCGTCTCTTCCATCAGGACGGTTTTCAAGATCTACATCATGTTGTACATAGAAATCTTAAACATCTTACTCGACTCAGGCATTTCTACAACATTCTGATTTGATGAACCTGGTTGCTCTCCATGAAATACCCAAGTAGTATATGTAGGATCCATACCTTTAATAATCAAATGTTCATAGACTGTATCATAATGATGATGCATTAGATTCCTACACAACACAAGGACATACTATCATTTCTGAATTGCATTTTTTACGAGCTCGTTCAACAAAATTCTGTGCTCCATCACTATATGGTCTTGAAAATCTACGAGTAAATCTTTATGATTATTATACATTGAAATTATTTTCATTTGGTAAATGGGATCATAATATCTAATTTCAAATGATAACCTTGATAATTGCAGCCACTCTTTGTCCATTATACGCAAAGCTACTATCCAAAACTAAGCATCGCAATATTCAAAAAATCGACGTGCAGGATTAAGCTCCAACTAACAGATAGTAACAGGACAAAGGTGAAATAGTAGAAAGAAGGCAGGTACATTCAAGATAGAAAACAAACTTGAAGAATTACATTTCATAAAATAATCTAAAGAAATAATATGGACACATGAGCTCAAGAATATTGACACAGATGCCAACCAATCCTAAGCTAAAGCGAAGAGATAAGGGCCAATTCTTCATAAGGGAAAAAGAGTAATAATTTTCATTAGTCTAAACAACGAGTACATGATTAAAATGATTAAAAGAAGGAAAAAGAAAATCTCGTACTAAAAGCAGGGAAAAAAATAGTTGTAAATGGACAAACACCAGCTTAAAATCTCTATAGGGTCTAGATCAATGATTAAAAGAAGGAAAAAGAAAACGTGTAAGCACCAAAAGAAGCAGCAGAAGAAAGCATGGGAATTTGCTGATCAAAATTTTCTGATCGATCATTTGGCCAAAAATTCTAACCTGGATCTGTAAGTCCAAGAAAATATGAATGCGTGCAAGAACTGGAAATTTTTTGGAAGATGGAAGTTACAAAAGAATTGGAAAATTTTACAAAATTAGTTAGCAAAAAGGAAACAATTATCTTTGTAGTTAGCAAAGTTAATCATCATTAGTACTGGAAATATAAAAAAGTAAATGAATCATACTGATTCAAACCATTTGTTTGAAACAAGTTACCCACTAGAGACAGAAAATTTAGGGAGTAGACGTTTCATGTTGAGAAAAGAAAAAAAGCTCCTCTGCTCTCTGCTGTAGATCTGTGCTTGAACAACAGTTCTGCACACTGAAAAAATAAGCAGACCACGGAGCTATGGCAGAGAAAACAAAGACATGTATTTCCAATTAGCAATTCCACATCAAAAAAGCTTGAATATACAACGAGCAAATGGTAACAGAGGTAAATTCAACATTGAAATATCGTACTAAAAGCAACATTATTACTTTCTTGGTTATCCAATTAGCAATTCCACATCAAAAAAGCTTGAATATACACAATTTTACCCCATTCAGAAGCATTCCTCACAATTCACAGAAACAATTTATCATTGAGGAATTGAAAAGAACTACAGCAAAGATTTATTACTTCAATCTCCATTAAATTTAGCTTTTCATGAATTAAAGAAAACAGGAGTTCACTTGTTCATTTACATTCACATATCTAGCATAAGACCAACTAACTAACTACAACCCAAAAAAACAAAAAAAACAAACCTTAAATAAGCACACCCCCCCCCCCCCCAAAAAAAAAAAAAAAAAATCCTTAAATAAGCACATCATAAACAAAATACGACTTGAACTAAAGCTTGCCTGACCTATCATCAAACGCTCCAAAGCCCAGATTGAACATGAAGTCTTTTATCTTTTATTCTGTCCTTTTCCATAATCTAATCTTCATCAGCAGATGGCTTTGAAGTCAAATTAAACATAGATTAAGGCGCTTATTAAAATTTATATATTAGCATATCCTTTACACACTTCTGTCCTTGGTGGCGTATTGGCCTTTTTTTACTTTTGGAATATGGTAAAGAAGTTCCACAAGTAGAATGTCTTGGTAAGTTACATAAGCCATTTTAAATCAAGGATAAAGACGCAGAAATCAAGCAGAAAGTATGGAATGCTAGGATGAAATTTACCAATCGGAAGACTGAAAGAGCTGTGGAACTAGCTGCTCCCTAGATCCAAGAGTAGTGGCTAGGTTTTCCAGATAGACAGATAAGGCAGCTTCAGCAGCACCTCCACCAGCAACTACCTATGTTTCGATAATATTGCAAAAAATCAAGTGAAACGTTGTCTTGAATTTTTTTTGTTTTTCTATTTAGGCTATAAAACATTAGCTTTCCAATTTGATGAACAAATCAACCAGCCAAATACATGAAGCCCATGCAGGTCGAATATACCTACCAGGAGGTACTTATCTATATAAGAATCACTTAAAAAATGGCAACATTTATACATAGTTGCTTAATTATACTATTTTTTCCCAATTCCAAAGAAAACTCGTGTGGTAATCATTTATGATGATATTGATTTACCTTAAATGATGTAAAAACAGGTACAAGCCCATAGTAAAATTAAAAAAAAAACAAAAAAAGAACTGCTGGGTGTAGAAGATTTGTTAAACAGAAGGAATGAATGGTGACAATTGACAACTGAGAGCAACAAAAACAAGGTTAATCTTCAGAATAGAATACAGCAACCATCAGGGTTTACCGTATTAGATTCCAGAGTTCTTTTGACAATGGATATAGCATCGTGCAAAGCCCTGTCTATCTCGTCGAGCATGAAATCATTGGCACCCTTGAGTATCAATGAGACCTAAAGAAAGCATATGATTCTGGCATATCAAATAATCCTCTAAAAATGTCCCCAATTTATCATGCATTCATCCTCAACACAACTACAAATTCGGGATTTCATGTCCAAATAAATAGTGCTCTTTCACAGCCAATTCTAAGAAATGCACAAAACAAAAATAGTAGTGAAAGCATATTTCCAAAGCTAACTTAGTTACAACAAATAAATCATTGATTAATTGACAAATCTTGTGAAAAATTAGGAGCTAGAAAAAGAAAATTCAAGAACCCAAAAACTTGCCCTTTTAAATGGGATTCACGGAATGAACAAGAAAATTAATTTTCAGATAGAACTTGAGTGCGGTTTAGGAATCAGAATCAAGGGGCTTCACCTTCTTCTTCTTCTTCTGCCGTCAAATCATTGGTGGAAATGTAGACTCGAAGTACTGCTGCCTACTGCCGCGTCTTGCGAAGTTCAAGGGCTCGAAGGTGCTGCGTCTAGGGCTCGAACGTAGGAGGCCGGTGGTCAGTGGTGGAAGGCGGCGAGATAGAGAGGAGAGACGAGCGGCACAGATCGCGTGGGAGTAAAACTCGAGTATTACTCTACCTATTTTACTCTTAGTCTCGTCCATTAATTGCCTAAAAGTAAAGGGCGAAAGATAACACTTTTTGCAACGTTTTATAAACGTTGCAAAAGACAGCTTGTTGGCAACGTTTATAAAATGTTGCCAAAGACAAAACTCTTTGCAACGTTTTATAAACGTTGCAAAAGACAGCTTTTGACAACATTTTATAAACATTGCCAAAGACAAAACTTTTTGCAAACGTTGCCAAAGACGGATTTTTGCAACGTTTTATAAACGTTGCCAAAGACAAAACTTTTTGCAACGTTTTATAAACGTTGCGAAAGATAAAACTTTTGGCAACATTAAATAAACGTTGCAAAAAGACGACATTAGCAACATTTACTTAAAAAATGTTACCAAAGCTCAATTATATTAAGCAATGGCAACATTCATGTATTTGAATGTTGCGATTGACCCCTTTAGCAACGTTTAATTAACAAATGTTGTCTTTTGCATGTTGCAAAAAGCTATTTTTGTTGTAGTGTATGTTTGGGAAGCACTTGTAAATGGTTTAATTTATAAATAGATAAAAATGAGTGATGGATAAGTGAATTGTAATAGTATTTATGATTACATTGGTACGTGAGGATGAAAATAAAGTTTGATCATTTATATGTTTTTTAGACAAAATTTGTCAAATGGAGACTAAGCCCCTGTTAGGTTTAGATAAAAATTAGTTTTTAGTAAATTTTTATAAATGCTTAAGAAATGTGTTGACAAAAATTGTGGCTAACGTAAATATGTGGTTGAAAACCAATTTGGAGAAAAATGAGATTTAAAAAATGAGGATCAAACATGAGCTAATTTATTTTCAGAAATTATTATTGTTAAACATTAGACTACTTTGACTAATAGAATAAACAATACTTTCTCCCACTTTTATTATCTTATTCTTCTCTTTTCTTTCTTATAATTTTGGTTCTTGTTCAATTGTGTCCATGTCAATAAATTTTCCAAAATACGCATTTTTAAATTATCAAAATGGAAATTGACAATCTGCCAAGAGTGTTAAGTGTACAAAAGTTACTAATCAATGATTGATATTTTATATGATATTTAAAGAAAATGTTGCATCCTTAATCCATTTCTAGTCGAAAAAGTAACCAATTCAACTTCGTGAACTAACCTGAGCACCTCTTTAATCCCAAAATTTTCATGGGATGCTTTATTATTTTTTTTTTCCAATGAAAACCAATTGAAGTCCTGTTTGCCACAAAAATTTTCAAAAAATTATTTCAAGTTAGTATTCTATAAGATAAAAAATAATAATAAATAAATAATTCATTTTTCACTTATGAAAATTTGTGCTAAGCAAGTTTTGAGTTTCTTCGCTCATGTAATTCAAATACTCTCCTAGCTTTGATTGATTGGTAAAAAGCCAAATATTATGATTAAAGGAAGAGAAATTTTGCTTTCTCGGTAATTGATACTTCATTTACTATTTAAAGAATTATCGTAAGTATCAATAGCTTATGCATATCGTGACTTAGTAAACAAATTGTAACTATTTACATCATCCTATAACAATTTTCATCTTAAGCAATTGTTGACTAGACCTAGACCAAGACTTATTCTAAGTAATGTTTAACATTGAAAAATAGTTAAACACAATGGCGAGGAATGAAATACTACAGAAAATTTAATCTTTCTTGATACAGCTACTTTGTGTGAAATTGAATTGTGTATTCTACCCATAACCTGGAGTTACGTGGAATATACCTTACATCAAGATTGAAAGTTCAATACCAAATTTTTAATTTTTTTTTTTCAAAATAAAAAAGAAGAAGCCAAGATTGATACTTTGACTTGGTGGGTTCCAAATCAATTTGCAATTGAAACTAACAATCTTAAATTAATCTGTCTCCTAATCTTGATTAGACATGAGTAAATTTCTTGGAATTGGCACTACCATTTTTAAATAATACCTTTGCTAATGCAAAGATTACACTCTAATCTTGATTAGACTTGATAGAGCTCATGTTTAGTGTAGATTAAGATTAAATTTTCAGTAGATTTTGATAGAAATTGACAAATGTGTAGTTGAAAAGTTATGAATTATGTGTAATATGCATTTAAAATTAATTTGTTGACCTTGACTTGAGATTTTAATTAAATTTTAGTTTACACCAAAAATAGCCTAAATTTTGTGAGCCAATTATTCCGTTATACTAATATAATTTCAAGCTTGATCTGAAAGGAGTAAATTTTCTAATATCTTTAAGTTGACTTGGTCAAGAGATCCTAACCATAACAAAATATGGTTCCGTTTGGATAATTTGAAAATAAGATCTGTACATTCTTAATATGAGAATTTCCTTACAAACTTTAGTCCTCTTCATAATTTTTACTTGGAAAATTAATACAAATTCTCTTATTTTTCTCATTAATTTTGAATTATTTAAATAAAAAAATTTTAACATCTCACTAAATTCATTGTACTACTACTGAAACAAAATCTCATTGTAATTAAATTAACTATTTTTTGTAATTCGTATTATGGGTTGATTAGACCTAATCTCAAACACTAAATCTTGACTAGACAGGAGTGAATTTTATAACTTCTCGATGGCTTAGTCAAGAAAAAGCTCCCATAGCAATAATGTTCTGTTTGGACATCTGGAATGTGAAAGTAACGCGTCTTTCCATAAGTACATTGTACATTTGGTTCAAACAAACAGACTTTAAGTTTTGACCGCAATGAGTCAATAGAGAGACGATACTGAGTTCTTCAAATAACACCTATTTCCTTCCTCAATGAAACAAAGAAGCCAAACCCCAAGAAAATGGAAAACCTATTTTCCATTGCTGTTTTTCCCTGTTTTCTCATTCTTTCTACATTAACGGCAGCATCAGCCCAGAAACAAAGATATGCTAATATTTCCCTTGGTTCCTCTTTAAATCCCAGTACAAATTCATCATGGTTGTCGCCTTCTGGACTTTATGCTTTTGGATTCTACAAGATAACCAATGGCTATGCTGTTGGAATTTTTATTGCTGGGATTCCAGAAAAGACTGTAGTGTGGACGGCCAACAGGGATGATCCAGTTTTTCCCAGCAACACCATTTTGTTATTAACCGATGATGGAAGGCTCATTTTGCAGCAGGAAGATAGAGATGACGAAATTATTGTGAATCCTGGCCAGTCTGTTGCTTCAGCTTCATTACTTGACAATGGCAATTTCGTGCTGTATGATTCCTCTCGGAGGATTAGATGGCAGAGTTTTGATCACCCGACCGACACTCTTTTGCCCGGCCAACGTCTCCCGGCTGGAGAAGAGATTTTGTCAAGTGCTTCAGAAACGAACCCTGCCAGAGGGATTTTCCGTCTCAAGATGCAAACTGATGGGAACCTGGTGCAATACCCTGTGGGAGCTGAAGACGGGCCTAATAATGCTTACTATTCATCAGCTACATATGGAATGGGTAATAATTTGTCGTTGAATCTTGATAATAATGGCCATCTTTATTTTTTCAATGGAAGCTCCGTTATCCGCAATTTAAGGACAGGACAATATCAAACAAATACTATATATCTCATGAGAATTGATGTGGATGGTATTTTTCGACTATATAACCGATCGCTGGATCGTCAAGGCAGCTGGATTGCAGAATGGTCATCCACAAAAGACAGATGTGCCCCAAAGGGTTTATGCGGGTTAAATAGTTTCTGTGATATAAAGGATGGAGTCTTAGGGTGCGAATGTCTTCCGGAATTCGATTATGTTAATCCAGGCGATTGGAGAGGATGCGAGAGGAATTCTGCCATGGAAGGTTGTAAAGCCAAGGATCAAAATGTCAGTTACGAAATCAAATCACTGCATGAGACATTGTGGCAAGACACCAATTATGCTGATGTAGAAGGTCTGACTAAAGAAGATTGTAGTAAAGCTTGTTTAGAGGACTGCGACTGTGGTGCAGCTCTCTTTCTAGGGAATCACTCTGAATATGGAAGATGCAAAAAGCAAAAGCTTCCATTGAGATACGGAAGAAGATTGCAAAGTGATGGATTGGGTGATGGTCAAAGAATTTCTCTTGTCAAGGTGAGCACAAGTGCGTCAGTTTCAGATAATTCAGCTAAAGAAATCAAGAAAAAACCAAAAATCTTAATCATTGGCATTTCGCTTGTTGCTTTGGCTGCCTTAATATTGGCAATTTCTTGGGTTTATGTCCACAGAAATCGTGTCGGGACCTGTACGATTTCCAACGATACAAATGTTGAACTGATTGAGGATGTTGGTTTACGAGCATTTACTTACTCAGAA